CCTTGGCCTTGCTGCTGGCCGGGGGTGGGTTGCCCGGGCTCGGAGCATCCTCAGGACCCCGTGTATGGGACCAGACTGGAAGGGACCCCATGCACAGGGGAAGACTGGGATGCAATGGGGATGGGTCTCCTGCAGGGGCCACCTGGATGGAGGTGGCATCTCCTCCTAGATGGCTTTGCTGGCGCTGGGGAGCATCCCCAGAGGGGACCTGGCACCTGTGAGAAGACCTTGGACAGAAGCCTCTCAGCAGGGCTGTCCCATCCCCTCCTGCTGCTCTTGCAACCTGCAACCTCCCTTGTCCCCCCTTGCAGACGAACCCACCAGCCCCAGCATCGACCTGAAGGCCAAGCACGTGCCCGCCTCCTCGGTGGTCTCCAGCGCCATGAACTCGGCGCCCGCCGTCAGCACCAGCCCCTCCTCGCCCACCTTCGCCTTCGCCCTGAACCGCCACTACTCCCAGGACTGCAGGGAGAGCCGGGACGGGACGGGCGCTCCTTGGGGCCCCTTCCCTGCTAGAGAGAATGGGGCTGCCATCACCTCCTTTCCCAGCTGGGGACAGAGCTCCCATGGTCTCCTTTCCTGTCTGGGAACGGGGCTCCCATCGCCTCCTTTCCCGTCTGGAAACAGGGATTCCATCACCTCCTTTCCCATCTGGGAACGGGGTGGCCATCACTTCCTTTCCCAGCTGGGGATGGAGCTCCCATCACCTCCTTTCCTGGCTGGAGACGGAGCTCCCATTGCCTCCCTTCCCAGCTGCTCTCCTCCAGGTGACCGGAGCCAGTGCTCCTTGCAGCGCTGCTTCTTTTGGGGTCCCCTCTCCCATTTGCTTTTTGCTGAGTTCTCCCTGGTGGGTTTGAAATCATGCAACAAAACAGGGCCAGCAACTGGAGTCAGGCGTCCTGGGCCAGCCCCTGAGCCCCTTCACCTCCACGAGAGCAGCACAGGCTGATCCAGCTCCTGACGGCATCTCTTCCCAAGCCGGAGCCGTGCATCCCCTCGGAACCGTGCAGCTCCTTGAACCTGTGCATCTCCTTGGGTCCATGCACCTCCTCGAGCCCACGCATCCCCTCGGGGACACCCGTGCTGACCCACGCGTCCCTGTCCCCGCAGGCAGCATCAAGGCCAGCCGCCGCTCCTCCTACCTGCTGGCCATAACGACCGAGCGCTCCAAGTCGTGCGACGACGGCCTGAACACCTTCCGCGACGAGGGCAAGATCCTGAGGTAGGGCTGGCCCTATCACCCGACTGCCCCGTCCCTGTGATCCGACCCTGCTCACAGGCAGCCCATTCCCTTGCAGGAGGCTGCCGAGCCGGGTCCCCAGCCTGCGGATGCTCAGGAGCTTCTTCACCGACGGGGTGAGCACTTGGTGGCTGCTGGGCTCACGGGTCCCTTTGGATGACCTCCGGTTGAGCCCCCTGCATCATCCAGCCCTGCACTGTTTGGATTTGGGCTTTCCACTCACCTGGGCATTCCCAGAAGGATATCTGCAGAATGTCCATCCCGCCGGGATGGTTGGGATGGGGGGCTGCGTGGGGCGAGCCCCGGCACCCAGCGCTGCCTCCTTCCCCCCTGCAGTCCCTGGACAGCCTCGGTACGTCCGAGGAGACCCGCTCCAAAAGGCACTCCGCTTGCGACCTCTCGGACGTGCCCTTCAGCGACGTGCGCAGAGAGGGCTGGCTCCACTACAAGCAGATCCTCACCAAAAAGGGGAAGGTACGTCCCATCCCCGGCCACCCCCGGCCACCGGAGCCGCCTGGGCAGCTCTGACGGCCCCGTCGCCGGCTCCCTTCTCCCCGCAGAAAGTCGGCGGCGGCATGCGGCAGTGGAAGCGGGTCTTCGCCGTGCTGCGCGCCCGCTCGCTTTCCCTGTGCAAGGACAGGCGGGAGGCGGTGACCTGCGCCCCACCGGCCCCAGGGGAGGAGGAGCCGCCGATCAGCATCCGAGCGTGCCTGGTGGACATTTCCTACAGCGAGACCAAGAGGAAGCACGTCTTCCGCCTGACGACCGCTGACTTCTGTGAATATCTCTTTCAGGCAGAGGATCGGGAAGACATGCTGGCCTGGATCAAAGTCATCAGGGAGAACGGCAAGGCCGAGGGCGAGGTGAGAGCCACATGGGGCTCCCGGCTGCCTCTGGCTCTCCCGGCGCTAACCGCCTCGGCCCTCCTGGCTCTTTGCCTTGCGC